AATTCTTGAAACTAATTTACAAGGAAATGTGTGCCAAATAAAAGGGAAGAATTATGATTCAGATCTTGGGAGTGAGATAATTCGTTTAAAGGGACTGGGCACAGTCAAATGAACATTATATATGAGAGATCGAGAAAAAGAAACACGTTTTTAAGAAACTGGAGGAAGATGAACCACCGTTGATCTTAGTGTACATGTACTCTAACAGCTGTGCAGTCACTGAAACAATAGGGGCGCGTACTTAGTGACAAACACAAATTCGAGGATCAGAAATTCGAAGATCAGATCAGCAACTACCAACAAATTTTATGTCACGTCTTCTCGTCTGGAACAGCTTAAGAATTCTTTTTCCCACTTTGGCGTGCAGCTATGGAATGCCTTACCTCACAGCATTAAAAAATCTTCCCATAGAAATTCATTTAAAAAACAAATACATGAAATACTTATTAATATCTTCAAACAACAGAACTTGTATCTTACACCATCGTCAATTCTTGAAATAATTAAAAATTTGTAAACCCCATCAATCCTCTAGCTACGACCAGTATAGCGAAGTCTTTCTATTTTCCTGTTATTCTTATCATTAAATTAATTTACTATCTTAATTTTAATTTATCATTCATTGTAATTTGAACTACTGTTTTCTTAGTGTAATCTGAACTGCTGCCAATTCGAAATCCTTGTAAGTACTAGTGATAAGCCCATCTTAATTATACCTACCCACCTCGACTAGTTTTTAACTAATTGTGGTTAGGCATTTCTCAAATTGTAATTGTTGTAAATCAATTTCTCAAATTGTAATTGTTGTAAATCAATTTCTCAAATTTCTCAAATTGTAATTGCTGTAAATCAATAAAATTGTTGTTGTTGAAGGGGGCTCTTATTAAAGAGAGGGCGCTTATTGCAACGAGGGCGCGAAATTTGAGACAAAAGCGAATCACTACGGTATAATATGTCAACATTGTTCCTTTGCGAAAAACGAACACTAAATATAAAATAATCAAACAATTTCTGGTAAAAAATTAGTTTATTCCTAAATTATTTCTTTATTATTAGAATATTTCGTTACAACTACATTTGAAAATTAAGCACTCAAAGTCAGTATTTGATAGACCTGAGTAATTTTTCATTTAATTCCCAAGGTTGTGGAGAGATTCCTATATCTTTTACCAGCTGTAAAATACAACCTCTGCCCTTTGGAGAAAATGAAGCAATGGAGAACATCTTAATAAGACGAGTAGCTGAAGTACTGCTGGCTATCAAACCCTTTCATAATGTTTGATCACTAAGGGCTAATGTTTAAAATCTTTGAAATTAGGTGAACAGGCAGACAAAAATATGGATAGCACTTGTGTCCTGAAAAATCAGTAATTCATCTTTTTATCTTATTTTACTATCACCAACATCACTGCTAATGAATGAAAAATTCCATCATGGTTACTAAATCACAATAAATTTCTACCTCTCACTGCAACCCTTCAATTCAGAGAAATCTGAATAATTCAATTAATCTGATCCAAAAGAAACGATATTCTGTATATCATCATAAACAATAATTATTTTTAACAGTCAGGTACAGTAAGAACCTTGGGTTCTCTCAAGTTAGTCTCCATAGTTTCTAATATAAATGGTGTTTTACTGTGAAATTAGGATAACTAGGTTATTATAATCAGGTTCTTAATTTCTCTTTCAAAAAAAAAAAAATAGGTATATTTCAGACATACCATGAAAACTGCTTCAATGATTTTTATTCACTAGTTGCAATGCATCAAAAGACTCAGTTGTTCACTGCACTCACTTGATCGTGTTTTTGATACATCACAACTTGGGAATAAAAATAATTCATGCAAACTTTCCATGGAATAATCTCTGTGTATTTATGGGTGTGGTGAAACTGTACTCTATACCAGCCTTAAAGTGCCCTGCTTTACATGGTCAACTTATACATACAGTTGGGTATGTTTCACAGTAACTGTTATGGATGTATTGACAGTGCAGTTCTGTGGTCCTACAACACTGTCAGTGTTACCCTTTTTATATCACATGTGATCTACCTTAGATTTGATATCAGTCTATATTCTGAAAGTATAACCTGTATTGAGATTTTAGCCTAGAATGGTTCTTGTGTGAAGGGTGCTTCACCGTGTGTGTATTTTTACTGTATCATACTAGATTATGTCTACGTTTCATGACAGGTACATTAGACATTATGTTATAGGGTACATGCACACTGATTTCCATGCACAAGTAATTTGACTGGTAGAAAAACATTTGTTATTGATTGTCATTTAATAATATTTTCTAAGAAGCATTTTCAGTCCAGAAGGGTCATTAAATAGATTGATAAGATATAGCAATATTTCATAATAACTCATGGATTCTTCATCATTGTCTAACCACCACTTTTCTTTAATCTGGGCTACTTCACAGTTTTAGGAACTGGGGCAGTCTAAGATATAAAACAACAGCAAAAAGTTAAGCTTTCATTAACTCATGCAAACAGGTACAAGATTTACACTGATGATATATAGTATCTACTATACTGGCCCCAACAATCTCTTCTTGACCAAATGTATGCCCTTAGGCCATACTTAAGGCCAAATGGTCCATAAATTTTATTTTGGCCCATAACATCTTATTTTGTTAACTGTAATCAAACTGAATGAGCTGATTCTTTTTTTTTTTTCTGTGATGTGAGTAGGGTATTGCAGTAGGGTATTGCAGGATGGGATGCCAAACAGTCAAAGGTAACCCTTGCACAGTTCCTCATCCTTCACATTTTACCCACATTAATTCTCATTACCAGTCCAATTGACAGTGTATCAAAATTGTAAGGAGAATCTATGAGCTGAACACCCTCGGGATTGGAGAAGTTAACCCTTTATACCCTAACATCAGTATACATATTCTCAATACTGTTCTCCATATACTTTTATATGGAACTGACATGGAGAATGTAAGTGTGTCTTGGCTAGGAACAGCACACAATAACACAATAACCCAACCAACCAGGAATTGAGAGTACCTAACCCTTTTTGATCTGCAGCCCAGAGTGATAACCATCAATCTTCTGTGTCCTTTTTCTTTTCATTTACAGTTTTTATAACCTGCAAGCTTTAACAAATTCTACTAAGCAAGGTGATTGGTCTTATGCCCAAACCCCAGTATGGAGCACCAGAGACTGACACACATCAATGGAAACATTTGCTAAGATTTAAGAAACTCTAAAATCTCAAGACTGACACACAGACATGAAGTCACTCAGGAAAATACTCACCACCTCCAAGTCACCAGTCTGTCCCTTTTTAATCAACAACTCAGAGCTAGAAAAAAAAAGAATACAAATAATTTAAAAAAGCAGAGATGACAATTTAAACCAAAATTTTCTTAAGGGATTCAAAGTCATCTGCAAATCCTTGAAAACAACCCCATATAATTTCACTTTTGGCTTCCTTAATTTTACTTGTTGTCCATGATATTTCCTTTTATCTTATCTCTGTTTAACTCATCTGATGGATACATTTAAGGAGAGATAAAGATATTGAATTTCCATGGGTGACATGTCCTATCTCATATAGAGACAAATATTTTTGTAATGGTTTATCAATTAGTAGGGCCAGGTAGCAGGAGTGTGGAAGCTCCAGAGAATGGGATATGGACAGAGAATGGGAAACAAGAGAGGAATGGACTAGAACTGGGAGAGGACTGAACAAATGTAGATATCTATTTATGGCCAATCTGCCATGTTTCACAAGAAAGGGGGAAAGATGGGGTGACAGGGTACTAGAAGTGGGAGATCCTCAACCCCCTGTAAAACCCTAGCCTCCTATGCAGACGTTCTTTGGGCTCGTCATGCAATCTTCCTCCCACATGAACCTGGGTTAGGGTTAGGAAGAGGAAGATTGCATGACGAGCCTAAAGAACGTCTGCGTAGGAGGCTAGTAAAACCCTACAAACCACTACAAGTTCAACGATAACAAAAGCCTGAAAATAACCAAAGCGCTATTTGCAGCTAAAATCTTATTTTCAGTCTCTACAAAACATAAGAGAGAAAAAATTCTACACACCCATCATAAAATGAAATAGTTCCTGTTTTATCTTTGGCCATGTTGTGTTTTATCCTGAGTGAGGAACAAGTTTTAAAATCAGTGCTGAGAATAGTCAACCTCAAGCTAATGACAAAAACCATTTTATTGAAGGAAGAGGGTTGAAAAGCAAGTACCAGAGATAGGGCTTTCAATTGGGTTCCTGTGGGTAACTCTGAAAAAAAACTTCCACACCAAACACCTTCCAGAAACTTGGTGCTACAGCCCCACCTACCCCACCCCCTGCCCAGATTATACTGAGAATAATGCTATACTGAATGATCTGCAGGAGGAAACTGTTTCAGTAAGGGGGGAGGGGGAGGGAGGGGGAGGGACACTCTTTGATCTTCAAAAGATGTACAGTTGTGAAGTCAAAAGATATTCAAACGACAAATGAAGACTTACTCTCCTGTCTCGATTTTGAGAAGCTGATTGTTGTTCAGAGCATTTAGGATATAAACGACCGTTTCAATGACATGAGTGCTTGTCAGAATAAGATCGCCCTGAAATTATCAAGAACTATGTCACCATACTTTTAACAACTTCAGTGTCAATAAAGGTATTTTTGTTTTATATAAACATTGAAGGGGTAGTATTTACAATGAAAAAGAATGAGCGGGTAAGTTACTGAGGATTACAAATAACAAACTTAAAAACAAAATTGGTTAAAGTTTAAATTAGCATACATCATTTCAGTCTAATGAAATTGAGCAAATGATAATAAGATAATTATTGACCTAAAAATGCTTCCACTTACCTTGTCCCCTTTGTCTTCAATTGGCAAGTGAAGAACAAGAACTTCATCCGTTTTAGAACTGACTGAAATACCTAAAAATGCAGCACAATGCAAGAATAGGATTTATCTTTTGAAACATACCATATTGAATTTCTACTTATACCACAATATTATCACTACCATGTTGAAAATGTTATAAAAAATTGGTTTATGTATCGGCTGAGGGCTCATCAAATAGAAAGCACTTGCCATGGGAAGTTTGGAGAACACTTGATAAGAAGTTAGAGTTGCCTCTACCACGCCGCAAGCGTGTTTTATATTTCATTCTCTGTAAATAATGACACGGTTGATGCATTATTGTTTTTAATAAAGACCATTATTTAAGCAACTCTGACACATCTTTGGTACTCTCCAAACTTTGCTTGTGCTTCAAATCTATAAGAGCTCATGCTAACATATGAACTTACAGTACTGTAGTCACAATGACTCATTGTAATTAACCCTTATATAGTTAACTCAAATTGCTGATTCATGGCAATCCATCAAACTCTTTGGTTTCTGTTCTACTTTTTCCTCCTTCCACAAATCTCATCACTTCATTCCTCAATGGTTAACTGTTTGTTTTGGAGGAAAATAAACTTCTGCAGCTGTTATAGTGTGTATCCTTCATGTGTGTACTCTTAGATGTGGTCTTAATTTGGTGTGGCATAACAAAATTCAAGGCAGTGTTTAATCAATCATTTAGATACTGCACCTACCTGTCAAACTGCTGTTGGTAATTCTATGCTTCAGCTTGTAAGTCTTGTCATCCAGAATGTAAATTGCCTGCAATGAAGCAAGCATGTAGAGACACACATGAAACAGGACAATGTTACAATAGCATTATATTAACATTAATAATAATTATAATACTGAATGTAGAATTTAGATTTTAATCACAATAGTTATAGTTATAACTGTGATAAAAATAATCAGAGCAATAATGATATCATAATAATAATATTAATAGTGATGATGATAAAAAATAATAATAGTTATAACCATACAGTAAGGAAGGAACAACGTTCATTCATTTGTTACATTGTAAGTGTTGTAAAGTCACTATTAGGTTGAAAGAATCGTAATTCTGTGAGTGTGTAACTGGGTCATCATACACTGCTAACCACACCAGACATGAACAAAAAGGCAAAGCATGTACTCAATCCTAGTGGGCCACTTAGCCAGAGCTTACCCTGGTTTCCTTAGCACAAAGCAACTTGGAGTATCACTACTCCCCCCTGGATGGGATACTAGTCCATTGCAAGGTTACCTCACCACACACACACACACACACACACTCTTCATCAGGCTTCTCTAACAAGTTGCTGGTATCAATTTTTATTATACAACCCTGACTCCTCAGCTTGGAGTCCAGTGCAATGACTATTAAGGCCACTACATCTCTGTAGACCAGATTGAAATGGTAAAGAAAAGGGAGAGGATGTTCTTTTCTCAAAAGGTACCTGTTCTGTAAGGATTAGTACCCGTGTCCTCAGTTTGTACCCATTTCTGTCATACTTGTGAACTCCAGTGCAGTACTAAGATAGTAAAAGAAGCATGTCAAATATTTAACAGAACTGATGTAACTCTCAAACATTCTTGTGTAGAATAAAATTTGAAGTTGATTATTCAAAAGTTGACATCATTATCTGCTTCAATAGTCACTCTTCTGTCATATAATCTTACATACCCTGATCAGAACCAAATAAAATTCAAAATCACTAGCATTTTTTTTTCTTACATGGATAGAATGTTCTGATGGGTTTTTTAAGATGTGATAACCAATGGTCAAGAAGCAATTTTTAACAGTAATAAACAGGTTCTCACCCTAATGGTTTCTGATGATGGAATAATCTGTTTGTCTGTTACAACAGTCTTCTTCACCATTTCCAAAGCAACACCTGTACAAGATACCACAGAAACATACTAGTTACCCAAAATCCAATAGTCAGAGGTTCAATTTCCTTAATTTATACTTTATTCTACCCTTGTGAAAATTTAATAATGACATACTTTAATTGCACTAAGTGCTTTGATTGTTACTTGTTAAGTAACTAAAATGGGCTAAATATATATATTACCATGATTTAAATTACCTGGAAGTTTAACTGGTCAAAACTTTACAGACCTGAAACTTTCTTATAATGATGAAACTATGATGAATCTACCATGACGAGCATTAGATAGGAAAATTGATATGACATATTTTCTCAAATAATGTTTATTGGAGGGAGGTCACTTAATCAAGGGGGGGGGGGCCTTATTGAGAAATTATTAACCTGTAAGGATTCTAAAGTTGTGGAAGCTTTAAAAGTCATAAATTAAGTGACAATAGAAACAGGTTTTCCTTGTATCTGTACTATTTAGGAAAGAGAGGGAGGAGGGGGCACTTGTTGATGTTTAATGGCCCAGGAGGTGGGGAATTATTCATGGGAGGGCATTTATTAGAGCATGGGTGGTTATTTGAGGAAATAACAGTACATAAATAAATATATAAACTCAGATAAACAAATAAGGCAATACTTAGTCTGTGTGGCTCAAAAGGTAGTGGTATGCTCTCTTCATAACTGGCCTTCTTTCCTTTGAACACTTCGCTGGCTGTCACCTTCATGTCAAGCTGAAGAGAGAAAAGGTAACCGATTGATTGATTCCCTGAGAAAAATTAATTGAACAAATCTTGTTGACAGTGTAATGTCTCCATGACTTTGGAAAATATTGCATCAGAAAATCATAGCAACTACATAAAGAATGATATTTTTACTTCAATTAAAATGCAGACAATTGTTTGGGTAGGCCAGCCACTACCATGTACATAACCTAGCAAAAAAAATTTTTGATGATAAAAATTTCTTTAAAGGCATTTTTTCAATAACCATGTTTTTACATTTTTGTAATATTGTAATATTGTTGATAATATTCATTTCATTTCACCATACATCAACTGACACAGACTCATAATACTGACAGTGACTAGCATCTAATTTCTCCATACAGTATCGCCTTGAATCAAACATTAAGGTCATGGGAATAAAAGAAACGATCAACAACTTAAGAAACTGTTCCTAGTTGATGAAATCCTCCTCATCAGTACTATAAGAAAATTCATTGCTTGACAAGGGAAATCCACATTAAATTGCATGCGAAAAAACCGATAAAACACAAATTGCGAAAGGATGAGTGCGATATCCCTTTTCTAGTGCGAATTAACATGGAATTCACGAGTCAAGTAATGGATTTTCCTTGAATTGCATAATTCATTAAATATAAGGGAAAAAAACAGCATTACTTATAGTTGTTATCTATACTAGTTGCAAAACAACATCACTTTGCCGCATTTTCAACTAGTAATTCCATGCTTAATATTGTACATGAAAAAAATTACTCAGTTCTGATTGGTTAAGATAAATGCAGTTTTCAGGTAATTCAGTGCAGAAGAGAGTTAATTCAGTGCAGAAGAGGGTTAATTCAGTGGAAAGAAAGTAACAAACCAGGCATTCTGATTGGTCAATAATCAAAGAAACTCAAAGAATTACCAAACTCACTGTCAATGAGCAATTCCTTGACCTGTTGGCCAGACTTTGAAGCACCTTACAGATGTGAAAATTTCATTTTATCTTATTGTTTTGATCGTAGGCAGTTGTTTTGACCAAACCCACAATGCTACTTGCAGGGTTTGAATAAATTATTTTTGCATGTGATGTACATGCTTTTCTGCATAATTATGATAAGCTATCTTGTATTTTTTCATGTATTACCTAATATATAACCACATGATTTTTCTCATGCAATTTGGAATAAATAATTACTTGGAAATTTTTTCAAAGACCACAAATTGCACTCGCCATACAGGCTCATGCAATTTTGTTAGTCTTTGAAAAAAATTAATTTACTTGTGCTTATTTATTCCAAATTGCACTCAAAATCATGTGATTACCTAATATACAAATACCTCACTTCGTTAACCAATCAGAATGCAAGATTTTATTCAATGATGTGATTCTATAGGAAATGTATGGAGGATATATGTATACTAAAATTGGGGAGTCAAGGGTCAATGGACCAACCTGGGCTTTCCTCTCTGGTGTGATGCCTTTAACATACTTCCTTACTAAGTGAAGAGTGTGCATTCTATGAAGTTGTTCTGAAACCTGTTAGAAGTGATAAAATCATCCTCACATTCTGAGTAAACTGTGGGAAACAACAGCACTTCAGGCAAGGGCTGGTAATACCGAATTTTCCAATTGGGATAGTTTGTGTAACACTGAGCTACACATTTTCTTTCTGTCTTCTTCCCCCATTCAAGTCATCTTTAGATGTGAAATTGCCTTCCTTGCTTCCTTCCTTTGTTTTCTAGAATACATCTGTATACATGTCAAAGATCAGCTATCTGTGCTGTACGCTCACAGATGTATGACAACTGCCAGTGAAACAACTGTAAAATCTTAATTATGATTGTGATCAATACAGTTGTTTAAGAAGAAAAATGGTCCATAACAGCCCCCCTTAATTCTTATCCCTGATCAAAGTATGTCTTCTTCTCCGCAATGAGATACTAATCCATTGCAGTAACTCCCCCAGCATTAATATTTCACATAATTAAGTCTACATGCTAACCAATACGTCACTGCATATCTCACACCACTCAAGCCAAATGGAAGGCAAGGCAGTAAGAGCTCATCCTGCTTTCCACACCATGGAGTGAACAAGCATCTTGATACTCCCCTCTCTGCTTGTCCATCATGGGTTAACTCCCCCCCCCCCCTTCCACCATTATAACCATCTATACTCCTTGGTGAAGAGAGGCAACGTAAGAAAAGTGTCCTGCTCAATCACACAACTCAAGGACCCTGCCCAGTCTTGCACCCCCAACCTCCCACCATAGTACGCTGAAGCCAGCACACTGACCAAAAAATTACACCAGCTTGTCTTCCATAAAAAAGATAATGTATCCAACTAACCTCCACCATTGATCCAGGAGGCTTTGGCCAGCTCTTGTCCAGGACGCTTCTGGGTAAATGCTTTGTCAGCAGTAGGAGGTATGACTTCCTTACATAGGCAATAAACTAAAATGCAAGTTATTTTAGAGGTGATATGAAAACTTATATCATTATTATCCTACTACACAACTCTTCTCTGATAGCCTTTGATTTAAATCCTACCTCTATCTGGAACTTTTTATCCCTTTTTTCAACAAAAAAAACATCTCATAAGTTGATCCTCCTGGAAAATTGTGCAGTTGATAGTTTGTTTTTTTTTAACACAATTTTTGGTAAGTTTTGAGACAAGGTGGAAAGGTTTAGCAAAAACAAATTGCACTTGAAGTCATAACTAAATAAGTTAAGGATTTGCTGCTACAGAAAAGATGCTTCCAAACAAAAGGTTCAGGAGTTACACCCTCCCTACAATGATTTAACCATTCCCTGACACTACAGGGAAACTCTTCCATGGAGTAACTACTACACATTTCCTTTAAAGTAAAAATCTAAACTTTGAAATATAAACATCAATGACTCACATCTGTATTTTCTTCACTTGCAGGCTGGTTTCTTGTTATCAAACCCTTTATGAACCTTTAATTTCAAATGTAAAAAAAAAATCATAATTATGTAAGAACAATAAATAACTCACTCTTTCCCACCAAATACACAATCATAATACCCGATCTTCATCTGCCGGTAACTATTACATAAACTATTCTAGGCTAAATCAACATAAAAGCTCATTCTCAAGGATTGGTTGTAAAATTTGGAATAGCATCCCAGGAAACTTAAGGAATCTTCCAAAAGATATTTTCAAGAAAAAGCTAACAACAATATTATTTCAAAATCTTCAAGTTCAAGATAGTTATGTTGACGTAGAACGAATAATCAATGATGTGTCAAAAGTTAATCCAGTTAATAGTAGTGTATAACTTATGTATTCTTCTATTTTTTGTCATGTGTTTCTATTTCTGTATTTTTATCTCATACTGTCATTTCTGCTTTTAAATTAATGATTTAATATTTAATTTCTGTTTCTTGTATATTTAATGAATCTTTTGTTGAACCGAAATTTATGTAAGATGTTTTAGCATCCACACACTGCCCACCGAGACTAGCTATGCTATTTGTGGGTAGTGGTTGATTATGTTAAGTTAAGTTTAATGCCATTAGAATAAAGATTAGAAAAAAAAAATTAGATAACCACTAAAAAAGAGAGTCCTTGCTAAGTAACAACACCTACTTGCGTATCCGATTGGCAGCTTTTCTTCGTTGTTCAAGCAGCCTTTGAGCACGAACTTGTCTCCAGTGTTTTGCAATGACAATAACCGCCAACTGTAACCTGACATATTTTTGTCTCTGGTAGTAGCCCTTGAATTGAGCTTGGATGATTGTCGCTGTTTCAAGATCAAAATTTCTGTCATCAACTAAACTAATATATCCATTACCCTTAACTTATGTAAGATGTTTTAGCGTCCACACACTGCCCGCCGAGACTAGCTACGTTATTTGTGGGTAGTGGTTCCTCAGTTAGCCTCCCAGTTAGCTCAATGGATAGAGTACTGGACTGTTGTACGGGAGGTCGAGGGTTTGAGCCCAGCCTGCAGGGTTAGGGGTAGGAGACGTTAATTTCCCATGCACGAGATTATTGTGTGATGGATGTCTTTCCCTGGGGTGGTTGCTGGGTGGGAATTGTCCCTGAAAAGCCCCCATGGGGAGTGGTCAATTAACATAATTGTGTATGTATGTATGTAAGTATGTATGTATGTCACTAATAAAATATTAAATGATGATGAAAAAAAATTGTGATTGGAATCAGAAGGAATGAAATTAGACAAAATAAAGTAAAATGAATATTTCTGCAATCACAGCGGCTAAACAAAAACTTTTAGTCACCACTTTTCATTTAAATGAATACTTTATCTACCTTCCCCCTCTAAGTAGTAAGGATTATATATTTTTAGAAGTACAAGTCCTTAACAAGCCACATTTAAAAATTAATATAACTCTGCCTGGCCCAATTCTCGTCCTACAAATTACACATGCATATCAAGTTCACAGTCATGCATATTCAATTTTATCAAAAACAATTATCTTAACCCTCTCACCCGCAAGATCTCACTAGTAGTTCTCCTTACTGTCTGCCATACAATTCTTATGATGTTAGTTTGGAGAATTTGGTATTGGATCAACTGATAATTCCCTGGTTGTCTTTTTCCCTTATTCTTGTTACTTGTAAAGAGAAACTCTCCTTACAATATCAATGACTGCCTTGATATCACCGAAATTATGCACCAATTAACTAAAATTTAGATAGCTCTGAAACACGAATCGACTTTTATTTTGTGTGTAATTCACGTTGCCATTTCTGTATCTTAATAATATTTTTAACTGATACCATAATTTCATTTTGCGACAGCTGGTACTGTTTGTAAAATATTTTTCGTCTTTTTCCTCTCTATAGACTTGTGTGTCTCTTCCCCTGCCTTGATTAGGCTTTTCTATATGCGGGTGGAAGCTAACATAAAATTATAATTTGTGAATTAATGAATAAAGTTTGTTGTTGTTGTTGTTGTTGTTGTTGTTGTTGTTGTTCTCTCTCATGGTAACTCACGGGAGTTAAAGGGTTAAAGTGGAATGAATTAAGTTACAGATTTCAAGTTCAATCATTTGTGGTAGGGTTCTTATTCGTTACAGTGGCCAATTTACCATTTCAACTTTGTTGATATATCCAAATTATTTTGTTACCCCCTCCAATGCAGCCCCAAACAGTTTCTTTAGAAACTATCAGCCTTTATTCATTCTTATTCTAAGTATTATTTGAGTCTCTTATTAAAAGAGCCATTTTAAGTACCATACCAAGGGCAGGTTTCTTAGCTTGAAAAGCATCCTCTGTGGAAAACAACGTTTGGGGAAATCTGATAAAAATCTTTGACCTATCAAATAAATCATGGATACTCAGTAAAAAGGAATACACAACATTCAACAACTAGTCCCTTGAAGCCAGAGAGGGGAGAAGGAACTTCTGCATGAAAGAGACATGACTGCCTCTTGAAATTTTTGAAGGAAACCCCCCTCGTACACCCCTCACCCCAAGAAGACCAATTTAGATGTAGTGCATCCCATATTCAACTCCTTAAAAGAAATCAACTCTCTTTTGGGAGTGGCATAGACCATCAAATATTATAAAAATGCCTTTCTTCCATTCCTTTGAAGTACTGCACCAAAAAGTTGCCTTTCTCATAGAAAAAAGTGGTTGCATTTGAACTTACCACTCTGGGTAAGACCAAAATCAGACTTGTATCCCATAGGGGAAGACAAACATCAAAGCCTCTTTTTCATGGGAGTTATCCATACAAATGATGATAGCTATTCACATATAAACTCACTTGCCAATCCTGTATTCATCAGGTTTATAGTTTAGATGCTCGCAGATTTTCTTCACCCCCTCACCTGGATCATCTAGTCAGAAAATATATAGCACAAATTTACATATTTTTGTACTACCATCACAGCACGACTTTATGAGTTTACCTTTTGTGTATCAAACATCAGTCCATAAATCAAAACAAAATAACAATCAACTTACCATACCACACTGGCCATGTATCTGGGCAAAGACATTTGTATCTACAATTAGAAAAAATTGTAAACTCAAATCAGAACTTTAATACAAAATTGGTTCGAGCTGGCTCAAAAGGGTTTCCTTGTTTCTAAATTAAGCTCCTAATTTTGTGTCCTTTAATACAGAGATGTGGCTGCTGTAAATATATTAAAATAGGAGTGAATGTATGAACCACTTACAAGGAGGAAAAAAGGCCATTGTTGGGGGTTGAGTTGTTTAAGTTGTAGAGAAGTGAGTCAAAGTAATGGTTCCTCTTTGCTTAGGGTCATTTACTTTTAAGCTACTCACCTTTGTAAAAAGAATGGAAAAGGTCTGCGGTAAGCAAACCCTGCCCTCCTCACTCTTAAGTTCTCCATCAGACCAAGGTATTTTACCTGGTGTCGCACAAGATCATCTTGAAAGATATCTACACAAAATGCAGTCAAAAAAAACACAATATTTTAGGTGATTGAAATTCAAATTTTAGAGGGCAACAACAACAACAACAACAATTTAACATTTATATAGCACAAACTACAATATAGATAATCAGTTGCGCTTTACAATCAGTTAAGGTGAGATCCGACGTCAGAATTCATCAGGCGCACTATGCAGCCACTTCAGTCCATGTATTGATCTCACCTTCCCTCCCCAATTCACCCTAGATTAGACACTACACAAAGATAGACCACAAAACCGGGCACTACGTGCCCTACTCTTTTCGAAGAGTGTGTGGGTTCTTTAACGTCCCACAATTTTTATCACATATAAGGGCTTGTGAGATGGGACCTCCATTTATCGTCCCTATCAGAGAAGACTAGAAAGTCTAACCATTTGCAGATATTATTACAAAGGCAGCACTTTCTTCTCAGTTATTTAAAGACCCTGAGTGTTGGTCCGGCCGGAGTCGAACTCTCAACCTCCCACACAACAGTCCAGAGCTATACCAATTGAGCTAACCGGGAGGCAGTTAGCTCAATTGGGGCAACAAAGCAACAGTCGAGGGCAACAAAGCAACAGTCGAGTGTACTTGATGATAAAATTATTGATATTGATGCTTATTCATGCTTAGGAGATACTTTGCAAGCAGCTAGAATCTGAATATTCAAGAAAGAGGTCTTTCACTACACCTGCTTTCTTTGAGTCATTTGGCTTGATGCATCTGACATATGATGGCTGTTTGCTCATCAAGATTGTCATCAGATTGTTTAAACTTGTCTTGAACTGAGTTCCTGCCTGAAAAATAGCAAAACAAATGAAACACAGTTAACATTTGCTCTACTGCTATAGTATAGACAGGCGAGTTTGGAGATTCATAATTTAATAGGCAGTTTTAATCGTTCCTGGCAACTGCACCTCTCCATTTAAAATAGTCTGTAACAAATTATAAGCTTGCGATAGCCTGTCTCGATCCTATGTTCCTTTTTCATCCATCAAGAATTAATATATCGTTTTTAAGGAGAAACTGCCAAATAATTATGCAGTCAGGGCGTGAAAAAGACTGATGTCACAGATCTAAAGCAATGGCTACAAAATTTTCAATCAAAATGTGCAGTTCAATTTCTCTGATGTAATTTGCAAGCAGCTCAAAGTGCTTACTTACTCTCATAGTTCCACAATATGTGAAAGCAGTATTGAGTTTGAAACGGAAATGTGAACTTGCAATTTGTTATTGGGGTTCTAGTTCTCAGACTAACCAAAATTGGCGATTTCACATGATTGCTTTGTAGAGAACACAGTGAGGAAGAGGTCAAATTTGTTCTGCTCCTAAATTATTGTTTTTGCCTCATTCTTATCGCCATCACAGCATGACTTTCTCGACCCTGCTTAGGGAATCTTGAGTTCATTTCTCTAATAGAGAGCTTCATGCAGCCATTGACAGATGAAACCAAGTACTCAGTAACCCCAAAAAGCTATAAATTAGTAGCAAATTATAATCATAGTAAGTCCTTGTGCCTTACTGTTTCTGGTCTTTTAAGTGACTCCATTTCTTTCTTAGGGAACACTTCTGATGTGATACAGTTTGTACTGCTGCACATTGCCTTGGAATTGATAAAATATCAGTTAAATCTTTAGTTTCACAAAAGTGGCCATAAAGAGCCACACCCAGGCTCACAAATTAGTGATACTATCATTACCATATTTTTGAGGTAATTTAAATGTTCCATCAATTTGAAATGAAATCAACCAAGAATTAGCAAGCAACCTATCTAACAGAACAGTATATAAAAGTTTCCTTCAAATTCATTTAGAAAGGACAGATCTAATTAATTATCATCCATACGTGTGAGTGTGTGTGTTTTTTCAGCGTTAATGGATGTTGAACGAAGACCCAAGGGTGAAGATTAGGGCGCCCCTAAAAGCTGGAACAGTAGAACAGCAGAATGGTGGAATGGCGGAAAATGATCGCAAATCCTAAAACATCGAACAGCGGAAAATGACCCCAAATCCTAAAACATGGAATGGCAGAAAATGACCCCAAATTCTAAAACATGGAATGAATGTCAGGGCATGTTGCACGAATTTAGTACAAAGACACTCAAGCACTTGGCTCATTCATCCCCACAACGATAATGCACGTGACTAAAATTAAGTGTTATCAAATTTTTTTTTCTTTTACTGAGTGGTATGAAAAATAATGAACCTTTATACAGTCGTGAAAGATAGCTGCGTTTTCGCATTGTAAACCTGAGTGTTTAGTTACCTTTAGTCGTGCTAAATTTGTCATGAGTTTTAGTCGCGGCATAAAAAGTCGCACAGCATGTGAAAACTAACTTGTACCACATTACAATAAACAATTGTAACTTTAATACATTTCCTGGTCTGCATTGATTCAATGAAACAAAAATATCTCTAATACTTGTAAATGTGAGAACATCATAGGAACGTTTAGAGGCTTCTCAAAATGTAATGACATTCAGCCCCAGCTCGAAACTTAGACTAGAGTGAGAGCAAGCCTTCGTTCGGAGCCCTTCAATACAAGCATTTCTTCATCCACGAATAAGTTTTGGGCCTTGAGTAACACTAAGTGAAGGGAGGGTTGCAGGGGGTCATGTGCATGGGAAATGCAGCTATCTTTCACTTATAAAGGTTCATTATTATTCATACAAATAAGTAAAAGAAAAAAAATTAACAACACTTAGTTTTAGTCACATGCGTTATTGTCATGGGGATGAATGAGCCAAGTGCTTGAGTGTCTGTACAAAATTTGTGCAACATGCCCTGACGTCCATTCCATGTTTAGAATTTGGGGTCATTTTCCACCATTCCGTGTTTTAGGATTTGGGGTCATTTTCTGCCATTCCATGTTTTAGGATTTGGGGTCATTTTCCGCTGTTCCCTCTTTTAGGATTTGGGGTCATTTTCCACCATTCCGTCATTCCACTGTTCCACCATTCTACCATTCTGCCATTCTACCATTCTGCCATTCTACCATTCTTCCATTCCGCCATTCCAGCTTTTAGGGTCGCCCAAAGATTGTTGATAAACATTAGACCTATGATGTCCTTTACAAAAGATAACTAAATGAGCTAGTGGGAAGCTTCAAAGTTATTTATACAAAGTGTAGGTTGCAGAACTCTACGGCAGCAACAACAAAAACAAAAGGAACATAAAAAACAGTAGCAGAAAAATGAAACCAGAACTCCATTATCACTCACTTCCTTCAAATCTCGAAACAGAAGATCATTGTTCTTGTCCATGAAACCTGCATGGAAAATATTTAGATAAGTGTCTCCTGTACAAAATATGCCACAACAAAAACAAATCACAGCTGCACTAAACAAAGGCCTTTCTCAAAGGCAACCATATTATTGGATTACCATTGACACAATATGTGACATCTCCCGCATAGTGCTTCAGTCTAAATTCCTAAAAGCAAATGAAAATTTTAAGCCATCATAATGGTTATTAATTATCCTAATTACTTACATTGAATTTCAAAATGTCTCATAAAAAAGAAAGAGAAATACCCTAAGGCAGGAACCAATAAAATACTAACCTCTCTTTGAATAGTTTTCCTCTCATTATACCCTGAGGTTGCATGGCTGAAAAAAAA